CGCGGGAGGAAATGATGTAGGTAATGAGTGTTGCCAGACGCAAAAACTGTCTGTATAATGACGTTTCTCATTTATTTATCCAGTTTATTTTGCTGTTCTTATTAGTAAAAAATGCTAGTTGGAATCTTTTAAAAGGCTCACTCCTATTAGTCTCGATTGTAGAATGTTTTATTTCATAAGAAACAGCGGGCGTCTAATAGTCCTCCATTTCTAATAAGAAATCGTTTACATAGACACTCAGTTGTCATCACAAAATATTTTATTTTTTTGTTTTACTTCACATCTGTTTTATCTATGGGTTTCCTGCTATCTACTTGCTATTTGAATAATAAACCGACTAAATGCGTATTAGCCAAGCGCAGTAAGGGATTTCGTAACCTTTCTTAAGATTTTCATTTTTTAAGTTGGGCTCTGTACCTTATTTAAACTTACAGAGCTAACTTATCCGTGATACTCTTTCTTCTAAATATATTACTTACACATCTTATCATCATGTTTTATCTGTTTTTTTAAGTTTCAAGCCAACAGAGGCACACTTAACTGTAACATACAATCACTTTATTCAAAGTTTATAAATTAATTAGTATAAAATAGGTTACAGCAGAAATGGGAGCAGAGCAGAACGCCTACAAATAGCTTTTGCCCATGAAAACTAAATGTACCTATGTACTTGTAACCTGTTTTGGAACGAAGTTCCTTATCGGGCGTTGTGAAAGGAGGCTAGACGGAAAAAAATCTCAAGAAAAGTTGTAACGACACTTTTTACGTCAGTCAGTCAGCGCCATCTATCGAATAGATAGGAAATCATTACTTTTCATCTCAGTATTTATTTTGAATTGTCACTTGTCAGTCATTCAGCGCCATCTATCGAATAGGTAGGAAATCATTTCTCAAGGAGATTTTACCAATGTATAAATTGTTTTAATTAGAAACCAACTGAAAAATATGTAGGTAATAGCCGCTTTCATAGATGGCGTTGTAATTAAAATCGTGTCGAATCCGTTTTACTCGATCGTCACAACTTCGTTCCTATCGGGTGTCCCACGACACCACACGGCTTTTTTTGTGTAATAAGAACAAAATAAAAAAAAAAACGGAAGACTGAATCAGAAATTACTCTTTATGTTCAGCCTTCAACAATACGCTAGAGGTTCCCTAAAAAGTTTTATTTTCCAATATTTTATTTCATCATCACATCAACAGCCTATAACAGTCCACTGCTGGACATAGGCCTCTCCTTAGAAAGGAGGTTTTGGCCTACTATACCACGCTGGCCAGACGGGTTGGTACAGGGTTTGTTTCAAGTTTTCCTTCTCTTTGCAGTGCTGTTGTCCCGCGTAATTTGCTCCCTTAGTCGGCTCTTACGACACCCACAGGATGAATAGGGGTGGTGACATTCCGTATTCTTTTATTTACTCATGCAAAATTAAATGCAGTCAGCACACGACCAGGTGTTGTGGCGAACCTTGGAGGAGGCCTGTGTCAGCAGTGTACGCCTTTCAGCCAAGCTGATGATAATACAGTAAATCCACTTACTACTGTATTTCCAACTCCTCCAATTTTCTTCTGATTAATTTCGTTGCGAGTTCCAAGACAGTTTAATTTCTTCCTGGAACTTCCCGAGTGTCATAACTCGGTGTGTTCATGGGTCACTGCTGTGGATCCTGGTGTACAGGAGTTACAGTGGTGGGCGTGTGAGTGGGATTAGTCCCAAGCTGATGATAATGATGATGATGTAAAATTCAAGCTTTCTGGTACTAACAATTCCTAAGATATACAGCTGAAGCAGCAGCTCTAAGAATAATTTATAAGGGTTCGTTGTTTGAATTCTGAATCATACGTTAATTCTATTCTACCTGAAGTAGTGACTACCGGAACCAGTGGGTTCCACTAATCACTAGTTCAGGAAACCTTTACTGAAGGAAGGGAGGGGAGTGAAATATGGAACTACTGGGTTATAAAAGTTCCACGTGGAACTTGCTATAAGGAACTAATGCGAATAAAGCAATTAAAATAGGCATTTTTTCACATCCGGTTTGAGACAACTACCAAAAACACTGAACAGCGGTGTTAAGGAACTCCTTTGAATCTTTTCCTCGAGTGACTGAAGTTATCGGAAAGTCTAACTCTTGAAGGCCGCACACACAGGACAGCAAATGACTGTATGTCTTGAGTTTTAGGTGTCCATGAGCAGTGGTGGTTACTTACCATCCGGTGACCCGTCTGCTCGTTTGCCCATTATATCTACTATAAGAAGAAACATATAATATCGCTAAATATTTATAGTTTGTGAAAAAGTCTTCATCATCATCACCAGCCTATAATAATCCACTGCTACTGAACGGCCTACTGTACCACGCTAGCTAGTCGGGTTGGTATATGGTTTGTGTTAAGTTTCCGTTCTCTATGCGGTGCTGTTTGCGCCCTTAAACGGCTCTTACGACACCCACGGGATGAATAGGGGTGGTGACACTCCTTATTCTTAATCCGTAACCACACGTTTTGAAGGATTGAATTGACGCATTAAAAAGTACTTTTATGTATTTTTATTCTCTATTTATATGTTTAATATACATAGTGTAAGAACACTACTTTTGTGTTTCGCAACTACGTTCGGTGTGGCTTTTGTGTTAAAATAGGCGAGCTTATTATGCACAATAATGGTTAAGTTTCTGAATGCTTTTGGCTGATTTTCAATAAACAATATTATAATATTTGAATCTGCCACTATAATAGGTATTCTTTTTAAATTAGGAATAAGTATTATGATATACCTACGTGACAAGCAATTACAACAGATGGATCGCTGTTCAGTGAATAAGTTCTGAAAATCCCAAATGACTATAGAAAATGGATAATAAAGATGGTTCAAGCTCTGCGGTAACAGAAAATGTTCTCACGAGTACTTATATTTTTGTGGAGTTACCCGGCAATGAAAGTAGTTTTAACTCAGATCCGTGCTAGACTTAAATTCAACATTTTAACATTCGTTATATAAATATGTTTTCTTTATCCTGTATTTTATTCCTCAATTTTCCATAACTACTTTACCACATAAGAATACATAAAACAACACTTTATCTAATTGAACTTCTTTTACTAAGAACTTTTATACACAGAGAGCATCATGATAGTTTTTAAGCATAGCGCCATCTAGTACCAACTAATGTCAATACTATAACTTCAAGCGAGGCATAAACATCTTTAAATTTATTGTAACCAACATCTCGTGTAACTAAAAACAACTCGTACTACTTAAAATAGTTTTTATGAGTATAAAGTAGGGGACTAGTTGCCTGTAACACTAACAATAACTGCTTACCATTAGGCGTTCACTGTGCTTATTTGCAATACAAATAAACTTATGATTTCTGTCAGAACTTACGCTTTTAAATATAACTAGAGGTCAATTATTTTTTATTGACTATAACTCGAATAACTAATAACTTTCTTTGCGTAATTGTCCCTAGATTACAAGACTCATACAAATGTATACATCACATATTTATAAAACAATAATTGTTTCGAAGAGAATTATTATCTGGCACAAACCCATCTAAATCCTTACCAGGTACAAAAAAACAGTACATATCTTTTAAATGTTTTTAAACTAACTTCTTCTTGCTTTTACTTCAAATATAGTCACTTCTTATTCATAGAATTGTTTCTTTTGAAAAAACTTACCTTTATTAAAAGAATGTAACCTGTATGTACCTAATCAATATAGATTTAATATAAGTCGCATAACAATTTAATATAAGTCGTAATACAGATAACGGTGATTATATTTGTCTTAAAATACAAAAGCAAATATACAATTAGGCGGTTTGCTAATACATTCTTCATAGGCGCTAAGTGCAATGGAGGACAAGTTCATGGCGCTCGCTGACATAGAAAGGGCATGGCATTAACAACAACGGCGAATATATGGCATGGCAGCATCATGGCAAAGACGCTGCAGGATCTACAATAGATGATAAATGACCTGGCTGACTGTCACATCGGTACAGAACGGCTAAAACCAAGGTCATGTTCAATAAACATGTACTACCAGAACCGATTGCGGTACACGGTGCCGCACTACCGCCTACTTCCACGACAAGGTGAATAGAAGAAAGGCAGCGTTGTTGAAGCTACTTCGAAGTTTCAAGTCTTCAATGAGTGCGTCTTATCCTTCACGATATAGAGAACCGAAATGTGGTCCCTTACGGTGTGACTGTTTCACAAGCTTAAAGCCGCTCAGCGTGCTATGGAATGATTATGCTCAGCGTGTCTCTAACGGATCGCATCAGGAATGAGGTGATCAGGCAGAGAACCAAAGTCATCTACCGGATTATTATATGATTATGATATTATAATTATTATAATATAGTATAATATTTTTATGGATCTTAAAAATATTGTATTATACTTTTAAACTTTATGTTCTAACTTACTAGAAAACGGCAAATATAATATTAAATCAGGATTATTTTTTTAGTAAATTACAATGTATTAAAATATGGCCACTTGAATTCGTATCTTTCTTAATCTTAGATCAATTTTAAATCATTCACTGGAGTAATTTAATTCAAGAGTTCGAGGTTCTTATGCATAAATACCACAGTAATATACTTAAACATATGACATTTGTAACTCAATATATACATAAAATTAAAGAAAAAAGAAAACGTCCCCGTACTTTTAATATTTATTTTAACCCAAAATAAATTAGTCAAAAAAGAAATCAACCAAAATTTTAAAGTTTGATTTTGGTTAGTAAAATGCATCATACAACTGCATTACAGTCTTATTATAATCTGTGCTGAGATTAATTTTGTGGATGTCAAAAGACTCGTATTCAAAAGTCGGTACCGTCAGAAATTTGAATTTTGTTTGACGCATCGTAACGTTCAACGGATTCCTAGATAATTTGAACTCATCTCGTTTTGAAAGTAAAATTGAAAAACAATTCTAGTGGAGTGCATATTTGTGAATTATTATATGTGTATTGTATCAATATGACGACGGACAAGATTCGTAAAGACAAGAACCAGAACATTCAAGTGTTCATACGACTAAGGTAAAAAATCAAAATATTGAGTTCAGAAAATTATTCGTTATTGGCATGACTCACTTGAATAACTATGAAATATGTCTTTAATACGTAATAATGTTATATATAAGTTTAGTCTATATAATTCTTAACGTACTAGTATGTGGTACATCAAAATGAGTACAAATAGGTCACAATAATGTGTCATTATTTCATAAAAAGGCCTTTTGTTTTTATCACTTCTAGAGGTCTATCTAAGAGCCTATTACAAGAAACTAGAATGTCCCAATAAGAAGCCGTAAACACTTTTAATTTTATTCCTTGTAGCATTATCAATTAATTGGTTAACAGGACTTAATACTCGGTTACAATACCAAGCGTCGTTCGTAATAACCCCATAGTGTTAGTGCTATTATATGTTTCACAGTGTGATTACTGAATTATTCAAGGTAATCAGTAATAATAAACGTGTTTTTAAACTATGTAGAAGACCTTTTTTACAGTTGACTGATGATAACAATAGGAATTTAATATAACTTGACAAACTCGAAATTTTGGTCTACAAATATACTTCTAAATAGGTTTTGTTGGCTTGAAGTGTTAAATTAAACCTATGAAGTGGCAACGGCCAGGAGGAGCATATCAGGCCTATAAATATTGCAAAATAAAGAAATCCTGTAGTATAGTCTTGTCATAATGCATGGCAAGCATGTTTAATGCATCCTGTGGCAGCCTTTAATTATGACTACACTATAAAATGTGAAAATATGGTAACCTTAACATTTAAATTAGTGTAAGCCTTGATGGTTGTCCTTAATAAAATAAATAAAGTATAATTAATTACTCCACACTGATACCACATTAGTAGTAGCAGTATTTACATTGCATCCGTACTAAGCCGGAGCGGATCGCTCGTAAAATATAAATCTATAATTAAAGTTATGGAACTCCTAATTGGGGTTTGAAAAACTTTTTGCATTTGATAGTATATTGTTCAGTGTTGTCTTTAACATCATAATATCACATCAACAGCCTTTAACAGTCCACTGCTGGACACAGGCCTCTCCTTAAAAAGGAGGTTTTGGCCTACTATACCACGCTGGCCAGACGGGTTGGTATAGGGTTTGTGTCAAGTTTTCCTTCTCTTTGCAGTGCTGTTCTCCTGCGTAGTTTGCTCCCTTAGTCTGCTCTTACGACACCCACGGGATGAATAGGGGTGGTGACACTTCGTATTCTTAATCCGTCACCACACGGACTAAGAATCATCATAATATACAAACCTTTTATTCAATACCATAGTGGTAAACCGGTGCAAGCTTCTGTAACTGTACCCCATAGAAAATAGTAAGGTTTCTGGTGGTGGGTTCTATGCCGGTTTAGGTATTTCTGTGCATTCAAATAATAGGGCCTCTCCAGTTATGTGGTCTAATGTTACGTGATGACCTACGAGGGCTGCTATTTATGTATACCGAATAACAATGTGAAACAAATATAGCATTCATTATAGTTTTATTGCTTTTGCATACGTTGGAACCAATTTTTGTAGCAGTTTTTCCATTCTGATTGTGGTATCTCCAAATGTGTATTTTGAACACATCAAGAGCCTCTTCACACCTCGAAAAACGTACGGCGGATGACCCTGATGATACTGAGTTATTTCAGCCGATGTATGGCAGCTACCATTGTCATGATGAAGAAGCATTGTTTGTTATTCTTTCTGATTTCTTCAAAGACTTCTGGCTAACAAATGGTTGTGTACCATTCAGAATTAACCATAATACGATCTTCTAGTGCAGAGGTTTCCAAACTTTTTTCTCATAGACCACTTAGAAAATTTAGCTGGTTCAGGTGGACCCCCTGCAGCTACATTAATACCATATTCCCAAAACTCGACAAAAAATGTGAAGATTAGATCTAACTATGGAAATATGCAACCTCCTTTCTAAGGAGAGGCCTATGTCCAGCAGTGGACTATTAAAGGCTGTTGATGATGATGATGATGATGGAAATATGCGTTGCAGCTAAGTTCCAACAACGAATTAATCGTTTTCGAAAAAAGAAAGTGAGAATTGATTGGTTAATAGTTAATTGATTGTGCTGTAAATGGATGTCAAAAAAGTAAAGTTGGCCAATCAAAAAAGCGATTCCATCAAACTTTACTTTTTTGACATCTACTCACAGCACAAGGAACCAGTCAATTCTCATTTATTTCATTTAGAAAACTCCCCATTCCGAGTGGTATAAAGAAAAATAGTAAATTTTTTTGGTGTTGTATTTATTCAAATATGTAATTATTACACTATTAATTATTATTGTTATCATATTACATTGTAATAAGATTAAAATATTATTATATTCGTAATATAATTAAAATTAAACATTTATAACGTAACTTCAGCAATGACAATCACAACATTTTAGTTCTTCAGTATCAAAAACAAATGAATTTTCGTGGACCCCCACTTACGAATTGTGAACCCCCAATTTTTTGTCACGCCAACGTAGACCCCGGTCGAGTCTCCCGAGGGCCTCTGCGACTATTTGCTTCAAAGTGCTCTTTGAACAAATGTCTTTGGCTCATCTTGGAACACACACACACTATTCTTTAGTTTCAGGATCACACGTAAATATCCGAGATTCATGACCTGTGTAGATATTATATAGACAGCTTTTGAAGCATCCTGATTGTACTTTTGTAACATTTTTACACCAATCGACACGGGCCCGTTTTTGGTCAATTCTCAGGTTGTGCGGAATCCAATGTGAACAATTTTTTTTTTAACAACGAAATGTTCTCGTAATATTTTATATTTACTCGTCATACTTATTCCCAGCGACGCCTCTATCTCGCGATATGTAACATGACGTTATTGCATTATTAATTCCCGCACAACATCAATGTTTTGAGGTACAATGACCGATTTAGGTCAACCTTCTTTAAATTTGTCCGTGAGCATAGACCGCCCTAGATTAACACTCAATAAGGCAGTGATACAGTTGTTTTTGATGGAGCTTCGTCCCCAAAAATCGAAGTGAATTGATCGATGCACTGTTTTTGAGTTAGCTAGTTAGTTAGCTTATTGTAAAAATTCATAGCACGAAAATTTTCACGAGTTAAATCCATAGTGATGAAAGACACGTAATTTTCAAATTTCTAAATGACGCCACAAAGGACAACCAAATGACAGCTACATGAAACAAATTGTATTCTTCAGCATAAGAGTTCCAATTTTAAATGTTATAATAACTTTTTTAATATTGTTCTGTAACTGGTCAGTTCCTGATACATTAATAGCAGCCCTCGTATTCATCATCATCATCATCACTATTATCTGCCTGCCCTCTTTAATATGCTATTTGGATTTAGGTTTTTAGGGTACTTTAGAGGTTGTCCACCTACTATATGATAACGCTTCTTGGAAATGTAATCATTCTTCAGAAAAATGAAGGTTGTAGAAAAACGGATGGGATCGGGAGGCCTTGGGGATTCGAAAGGATCGGATAGGAACATTAACTGACCTAGTATGTGAAGAAGTATTTATCTTACGTAAACCATTTTAATTACTTGCAGACCTTTAAACCAACGCGAGCGGGACATCAAGTCACTTGGCGTTATTGACGTGGTGAACAACAGAGAAGTGGTTGTGCGCCAGTCCCAGCAGACCTCGCACACCAAGAAATTTACCTTTGACAGGGCATTTGCACCGAATGCCAGTCAGGTATGTCATAACATTTCAATGTAATCTTAATGCACTATAATATTTCCTTAAATGGTTGACTTACACACAGAAATAAAATGAATGGTTTCATTCCTAAAATGTTATGAGATCAAGGTGATATATAGTAAATAGTGATATATACATTATATTGTACTGTGGCAAAAGGAAAAATTATATTCAAATGGCCTCTATAGAGGACACACTAAACTGTAAAGTAACTGCAAATCCTGCATCACGCAATCTATAGGGTCTCACGTTATTAATGTATCATTATTTAAAAATATTATTTATATCTTCTAAGGTGTATGATCATAGGTTGAGGAAACAATGGTGCTAACTCGAAAACCTATCTAAACTAAACTAAAAATTGTTAAAAAAAATGTTTGTGCTGTCAAATATTACGTTTTCCGAATAGGAAACGTTTGACAGAACTAAACATTTATTTTTGTTATTTTTAGTTTAGTTGAGAGTTTTTGAACAAAAGAATTAGCACCAATGAGATATAATTAAGTTCTATCTATAATTATTAAAAAAAGCACTGCCTCCGCGGATGGAGTAGTGGTTTAAGCGGTCACCTCGCGCTTCCTAATTCGCTGAGTGTTGGGGGTTCGATGCCCACATGGGACAACACTTAGTGTGATACACAAATAGTTGTTCTCAGTCTAGGTGTTCTTTGTGTCCATTTCATGTATGTTTGTAAGGTCCCCAGCAACACAGGATAATAATATATTCCTAGAGCGGAAGTTTTTAAAAAAAAATGCACTTAAATGTTTAACTTTACAGCTCCAAGTATACCAAGAGGTGGTGAGTCCTCTAATAGAGGAGGTGCTCAATGGCTACAACTGCACTGTGTTTGCCTACGGGCAAACTGGCACAGGAAAGACGCACACCATGGTGGGTGAACATACCGGCACTGACACTCACTGGCAAAATGTAAGTTCATCATTTTTAAATTTATGGTATAGGATTCCATGCAGTGTTTCATTAAGAATATGGATCACCATTATTTATCTCGTGGGTGTCGTAAGAGCCGACTAAGGGAGCAAACTACGCAGGACAACAGCCCTGCAAACAGAAGGAAAACTTGACACAATTTTTTTTTTTTTACACGTGTCGGGCAGTCACCCCATCGGGGTTTGCAGCGGGGTGGTGTGTCGTAATCGGACCGACTAAAATCACACAGGGTGCAACTCTGCGCCTGTAATAGGAGGGATCTGGGAACAGCTGTTGTTAAGACATTCGGACCCCTCCTAGCGCTGGCCCGCACCACCTTCGGATACATTCTCTATTCCTCCTCGCTGCTGACCCTTATGACCACCCGTCATAAGCGTCGGCGGCAAGTTGGGTCCGAGTGGAGAAGTATCAACCCATCTGCCCAAACGCTGTTGAGGCTGCCTTACCTCTATTTGTGTTTTAGTCTCGTCCATAACTTGTAGAACTAATTGTTGAGATGCTCCACAAATTCCACAACCTCAACTTCCTTCTTACTGAACACTTACATGTCCACACTTATGGCGTCTGTCATCATCATCATCATCATCAGCCTATCGCAGTCCACTGCTGGACATAGGCCTCTCCCATTGCACGCCACTTAGATCGATTTTGGGCTTCTCGCATCCAGCTCCTGCCAGCCATCTTGCGCAAATCGTCACTCCACCTGGCCTGTGGGCGTCCTACACTACGTTTGCCGAGACGTGGTCTCCACTCAAGAACTCGTTTTCCCCAACGGTTATCGGTTCTACGGCTAATATGGCCAGCCCACTGCCACTTCAGCTTGCTGATCCGGTACGCAATGTCGGTGACCTTAGTTCTCTGCCGGATCACCTCATTTCTGACGCGATCCCTTAGAGAAACGCCGAGCATAGCCCTTTCCATAGCACGTTGAGCGACTTTAAACTTGTGGACCAGCCGTACCGTAAGTGTCCACGTTTCAGCTCCGTATGTCATGACGGGTAGGACGCACTCATTAAAGACTTTCGTCTTAAGGCACTGTGGGATCGACGATGAGAAGACTCGACGTAGCTTCCCAAACGCTGCCCAACCCAACCGAATTCTTCTGTCCACCTCGTCCTCGAAGTTGTTTCTACCTAACTGCAATGTCTGCCCGAGGTACACATAATTTTGAACAACTTCGAGAATGGCACCGTGTACCGCAATCGGTTCCGGTAGTACATGTTCGTTGAACATGACCTTGGTTTTATCCAAGTTCATCCGTAGGCCGATGCGTACAGAAGTGTCAGCTAAGTCATTCAGCATTTGCTGTAGGTCCTGCAACGTCTCTGCCATGATGACGATGTCATCTGCAAATCGCAAGTGAGAGATGTATTCGCCATTGATATTGATGCCACGCCCTTTCCAGTGCAGCGTCTTGAACATGTCCTCCATTGCATTTGTGAACAATTTCGGGGAAATAACGTCCCCTTGTCTCACTCGATGCAATGGTACGGGCCTTGTTTGCTGATTCTGTACTTGGACGGACATGGTGGCGGCTTCGTAGAGACATCTCATCACTTGGATGTATCGCCAATCTAATTAATATTATTTAACGGGAATTAACGCGATCTCTTATTTAGGGTATTACATACCTCTGGTTTGCCTGACGTTTCGACCAGGTTGCACCGGCCGTGGTCACAGGCTGACTGGCTCATCGGCGCACGCCCTCCGTCGTCGAATCCGTGAAGTAGAAGGCTCTTCATCTACCCGCACATTTTCGATATTTTTGTGTCGCCATGTACCGTCACATACCACACTAACAGTGTCCCTATTCTGTAAGCAAACCGATGAGTCCCTATTCTGGTGTTTAACCGATTGCGCAGAAAAGCGAGGTGGTATGTTTTTTAACACTGGATTCCACGCTGTAGATAATTTAAAACCATCTTCCCGATTGAAAGTTTTATGCTTTTTAATCTCAATCGCTTCACGTACAACTCTTGAGTAAAAGTGACGTTCGGTGGAGAGGACTTGCGTGCGGTGAAATTCAATCCAGTGGTTGATGCCTGCATCGAGTGCATGTTCTGCAATCGCTGATTTGCTCGTCTGTCGGTTCTTCACAGCAGCGATATGCTCTTTGACCCTTTCTGCAATAGTCCGCTTAGTTTGGCCTATGTATGAGCTTCCGCAGCTGCAGTCTATTTTATAAACACCCGGAGTTTGTAGTGGCAATGTATCCTTCGGTGTGCCGACGATGTTGTGAACCTTTATGCCTGGTGTGTATACTGTCGGAATGGAATATTTCTTTAGTACAGACCCGATCTTGTCCGTAACTCCCTTGACATTAGGCATATAGGCCGGTTGCCTGTTCACTTCTGGATACTTGCGTCTTATTTTCGGTTGCTTCCGTCCTCCTTTCACTTGATATCCGTTACCTTTGAGTACCTCCTGAACATGTTTTAGCTCCTGTTCTAAATGTTCAGGGTCACAGAGATCGTAAGCTCTGTTTTTGAGTGAAGTCATAACAGATTGCAAGTGCCGGGGGTGATGATGAGACGTGGCGTGTAGGTATCTGTCCGTATGAGTAGGTTTACGGTACACACAGTGTGACAAGGACCCATCCGATCTCACGGCTACTTTAACATCTAAGAAGGACAACGACCTGTCCGTCTCCATTTCATATGTAAACCTCATTTTGGGGTGAATAGAGTTCAGATGTTGTATATATTGATCCACTTCTTGTTTGTTTCCTTTGACGATACTGAAAATGTCATCCACGTATCGCTTCCATAGCTTAACGGTATTCGGGCCGAGATTTAAAGCCTTCTCTTCAAAATGTTCCATCCAGATGTTGGCCAGTACTGGGGCTACAGGACTTCCCATCGCGACGCCATCAATCTGGAGGTAATGTTGACCTTGGAAAAGGAAATAGTTGCCTTCTAAACAGTGTTCAAGTAGATCCATATAGTTTAAGGGCAGCTCGTTGTCTCTCAGTAGGTCTTTTACGACGTTTAGGCACTCCTTTATTGGAACATTGGTGAAAAGCGACTCCACGTCAAAGCTCACCGTGACGTCATCCGGTTCCAACGTCAGATCTTTTATGATTTGTATGAAGTGCCGTGAGTCTTTCACAAAAGACGGTGTTTTGCCTATAAGTGGTTGCAATACTGAAGCAACGTGCTTTGCTAGATCGTAAGTAGGAGAAGCAATTTGACTTACAATCGGCCGCAGCGGTACGTCAGGCTTGTGTATCTTAGGCAGACCATATAATTTCGGTGGCTGGTGTGACTTTGGTTTGTACAGTCTGTTGTACTCGTCTTCTGAAAATAGGTCCTCATTGTCCCGGATTAGAGATCGTATTTTTCGCGTTACTCTGGCCGTGGGGTTGTATGTTACCGGTTTATAAACCTCATTATCACTCAACAGTTCAAGTATTTTGCTTTTGTAATCAGTTGTATTCATCACTACGGTAGCGTTTCCCTTGTCGGCCTTAAGCACTAAAATAGATGTTAAAGTAGCCGTGAGATCGGATGGGTCCTTGTCACACTGTGTGTACCGTAAACCTACTCATACGGACAGATACCTACACGCCACGTCTCATCATCACCCCCGGCACTTGCAATCTGTTATGACTTCACTCAAAAACAGAGCTTACGATCTCTGTGACCCTGAACATTTAGAACAGGAGCTAAAACATGTTCAGGAGGTACTCAAAGGTAACGGATATCAAGTGAAAGGAGGACGGAAGCAACCGAAAATAAGACGCAAGTATCCAGAAGTGAACAGGCAACCGGCCTATATGCCTAATGTCAAGGGAGTTACGGACAAGATCGGGTCTGTACTAAAGAAATATTCCATTCCGACAGTATACACACCAGGCATAAAGGTTCACAACATCGTCGGCACACCGAAGGATACATTGCCACTACAAACTCCGGGTGTTTATAAAATAGACTGCAGCTGCGGAAGCTCATACATAGGCCAAACTAAGCGGACTATTGCAGAAAGGGTCAAAGAGCATTTCGCTGCTGTGAAGAACCGACAGACGAGCAAATCAGCGATTGCAGAACATGCACTCGATGCAGGCATCAACCACTGGATTGAATTTCACCGCACGCAAGTCCTCTCCACCGAACGTCACTTTTACTCAAGAGTTGTACGTGAAGCGATTGAGATTAAAAAGCATAAAACTTTCAATCGGGAAGATGGTTTTAAATTATCTACAGCGTGGAATCCAGTGTTAAAAAACATACCACCTCGCTTTTCTGCGCAATCGGTTAAACACCAGAATAGGGACTCATCGGTTTGCTTACAGAATAGGGACACTGTTAGTGTGGTATGTGACGGTACATGGCGACACAAAAATATCGAAAATGTGCGGGTAGATGAAGAGCCTTCTACTTCACGGATTCGACGACGGAGGGCGTGCGCCGATGAGCCAGTCAGCCTGTGACCACGGCCGGTGCAACCTGGTCGAAACGTCAGGCAAACCAGAGGTATGTAATACCCTAAATAAGAGATCGCGTTAATTCCCGTTAAATAATATTAATTATCATGGAACGCGAAAGTTTAAAAGTTAGTATCGCCAATCTACTTGGCAACGCTGCAGGGACTCCAGAACAGACCAGATCTCGATCGAGTCAAAGGCTTTCTTATAGTCCACGAATGCTAGACACAGGGGCTGATTATATTCTTCGGTCTTCTTTATAATCTGCCGCACTGTGTGGATGTGGTCTATGGTGCCATATCCGCTCCGAAACCCAGCTTGCTCCGGTGGTTGGAATTCGTCGAGTCTTTGCGCAAGACGGTTCGTGATGATTGTCGAAAACAGCTTGTAGACGTGGCTTAGAAGGGATATGGGTCGATAGTTCTTCAACCTGGTCTTGTCACCCTTTTTGAAGAACAAGACGACCACACTCCTACTCCACACTTCTGGAGTTCTCCCTTCAAACAGGACAGCGTTGAAGAGCGCTGTACCTACTTACAACAGCACAGCGCTTACAATTTCTTTTTTTTTTTTTTTTAGAAGGGTTAGTAACGAATCTTGCCAGCGTGGTATAGTAGGTCAAAACCTCCTTTCTAAGGAGAGGCCTATTTCTAGGAGTGGACTAGAATAGGCTGTTGATGATTGATGATGGTATAGGATGCAAATAAAAGCAGACGCAGGTCACCTGATAGTAACTGCTGTCCTACAACTCATAAAACATAAATATCGCCCTTTGAGTGAGCCTCCAGAAAAAAGGAGAGATGGGTATTTGAGTTCCTGTAATCTCACTCACTCGTAAAAAGCAACTAAAGAATTGATTGACACTAAACATGGGAGTTATTGCTACTTTTAATTCATATTCATTTGATGAAATGATTGGCTTTATTCACAGCGATTTCACATGTGATTGTGATTTCGTCATTGACAAAGATAAATGGCATTTAGAATCAATCAAAATCCTTTTTATCAATGATTAATACTCTTTTTTTTTAGATTTAGACTTTTCGCGAGTCTTGCGCCCACAGTAATAGTTAAGTAGCACAAATCATATGATTTATCACATGTGATTGTGACTTAATACCATCCCTAGTTGACACCGATTTTCTGTCAGGCCGTAGTATCACTATAGTTGAGTCGACCCAGTTGTTGACTCTCTCCCACAGCAAACCTAATCGCTAATTTGTCCTAGGCAACTTACCTCCTATTAATTTGAATATAATTAATTTTTATTGTACTAAAATTATAGTTGGTAATCTCTGTTTATCACTATGATGACGTGATTGTTTTTAGTCACAGTGATTTCACCTGTGATTATGATTTGGTCATAAACAAAGATAAATGCCATTGAAATCACATTAAATCATTCAAAATTATCAAAGATTACGACGATACGATTTTCACGACCTTTGCAAGTCTAGCGTAATAATAATAATAATGTCGCAGTGGTTATGTTAATTAGTTACAGATGTGATTACATGATTTATGAATCATATGATTTATCAGAAGTGATTATGATTTACTAACTTTTAAACTTTCGCGTTCCATGATAATTAATATTATTTAACGGGAATTAACGCGATCTCTTATTTAGGGTATTACATACCTCTGGTTTGCCTGACGTTTCGACCAGGTTGCACCGGCCGTGGTCACAGGCTGACTGGCTGATTATGATTTTATTCCATCTCTTGTGTATATGTTTTTGTTGATATTTCTTGAAGTACCTTACGTACTTACTTATATTAATGATTAAACTTGTATATTAATTATTAAATAAATCATTTGTCCTGGGTGAGACTCGAACTAACGATATCAACAGGCCTGATTAGTAAAAGATGTAAAACTTTACAAATATTTTTGTAGGATCCCCTCGCTGGTATCATACCGCGTGCCCTGAGCCAGCTGTTCGACGAGCTCCGACTCACCAACACGGAATACACGGTCCGGGTGTCGTACTTGGAGCTGTACAATGAAGAACTGTTCGACCTGCTCGCCGCTTCGGAGGACAACTCCAAGCTGAGGATATATGAAGATGTTACCAGGAAGGGCTCGAATATTGTCAACGGATTGGAGGAAATAACTGTAAGTTTATAAGAAGTGTAGCGCAGGAATTGTTATAGTAGTATCTGTATAGTCACCCTTTAAATGAGGCGTGTGCCATCATTTATGTAGGAATCGGTGGTGCTGTTGTTTCATATGTGAGACTTTAGTCTCGGGTTCGATTCCCGGGTCGGACCAAATGTTTGTATGATCTGCAAAAATTGGTTTTGGAGTTAGGGGGTTTCCATGTTTAATATGTATGTATTTACAAAAAATAAGGTGAAAAAGTGTTCTATCAGTCAATCTAGCTTGTATAGTACAAGCTTTGCTTTGTTTGAAACTAGATGGCGTTGTGTGTCATGTCCGAAATATTATAATAATATTTATATTATTATTTAATAGAAGTTTTACGGTGCTGCTAAGGGTCGTAGCGTAATGTTGAATAGGCTTCTAAAGATTTATTTTGTGAGTTACGCGAAACATTCACCATTTGTAATTCAAGTTCAATAATCCTTTTTAATTTAATTGGTTTCATTCAAGATTGATTCCATTTAACTTGGAAGAAATTTATCATCACTAAGGATTTATATTAAGGAATTAATAATAAAACTTACAACAATTAATTATTATTCAGGCGAATTTATTATTTAATTATTTTTTAATTATAATCCCAATGCTTAAAAACTTAAACAGATAGACTGAATGTATCATTAGAAACCTTTGTGGAGGAACGGGTGTCATGTCCCTCCAACACAAAGAGACGATCCTCCGACCAGGCGAGGTGATCATGCCTGGCGGGCCGCGGCCCAACGTTTGATGTTGGGAAGTTGTATATATGCTAATGGCGAGAGAATTCTTCATACCGCGATACAGGATTAGCAATTCTCATTCATGAGTTACTCCTTAGTTCGGTATGTCTTCGTTAGATGGCGCTATAGTATGTTTCTTTGTTTGATCGTATGTGGGAGTCGCCACACCTTGCATGATCCTAACTTGGACTGTTAATAGAATGCGGTATTACACCATCAGACTGGCCACTACTAGACATAGGCTGATCAACTGCTTAGTGTGCCAGAGGGCCTACTACTCAATTGTGGATTACATAGAAGACAAGAATGCTTGGGATTAATAAGCGTAGGCTATTTCTTTCTTAAGTAAAAATGTAGAGTGGCTAGTGTGTTGTTTATTATTATTATTTTTTCTATTTTTTATGTTTCATTTCATTTTCTCTTTTATTCGTTTTTTTTCTTAATCTTGTTTTCTCTGCATTGTCTTTTTACCTTTTAGCCCTTAATAACGGACATACTGGCACACATCTAAACAATTTTGTGGTATATTTAATAGTGCCATTGTATCTACCTGTGAATTGCAAAAGAGTGACCATGAGTTTGTTTGCCCTTTCCTCTCACAAGAAATCCAAGGGGTTGAGCCCCTTGGATTTCTTGTAAATCGGCACAGGCATATCATAGATTTTGTATGGGTTTGATTTTTGTTAAATTTATTTGCTTACTATTTGACAAAACAGATTGTTGCTTTTGCAACACACACGTGTTGATCTATGACTTTAGAGTCTACATAAAAGACGATTTCAAACAATTTCAAAAAATTTATGAAATTAAGAGAGTTTCAGTTTTGACCTTTGAGTTTGAACTGATACAAAATTTACCACTTTTTTAATTATACTATGTTGTAGGTCTATAACAAGAATGAGGTGTACAAGATTATGGCTCAAGGCCAGGAGAGGAAGAGAGTTGCTTCTACGCTCATGAATGCTCAGTCAAGGTGAGATATCTTATAAAAATTTATTGTCTCTCTTATAAATATATTCGACTGCCTCGGGGGTGCAGTGGCAGCGTATCAACTGCTGTGCGAAGGTCTCGTGTTCGATTCCCGGGTCGGACCAAATGTTTGTATGATCTGTAAAAATTTGTTTCGGAGTTTGGGTGTTTTCTATGTATAATGTGTATGTATTTTCAAAAAAAAACTATTTATTTATTCTATTAGTCAATATAGCTTTTATAGTACAAGCTCTGCTTAGTTTGAAACTAGATGGCGTTGTGGGTCAGATGTCCATAATATTATTATTATTGTCTATAAATATTAAACACTACTGTTTTTACTTTGTTCGTGTTGGAGTTTTGTTTATTTGTTAATAAGTACTACCACATAAAATATATTATATTTATAACTAACTAGCTGGTGCCCGCGACTTCGTTCGAATTTGGAAAGCGCTGCCTGAGTAAATTCGATTCCCGGACCGTAAAATTTTATAGGCTTTTTCGGAAAGAAAAAATAGCCTTAGTTACTCTTTATATAGACAGCTACCTGGTTGTAAAATATAATTAAAATCGGTTCAACCGTTTTAAAGATACCCTGGAACAGACAGACAGACAAAAACTATTGAAACTGGTTTTTAGGCATAAGTATCGTGCAAATAACCGTGTGAGCATGAAAAAACACTATTATTTTGATACTACAAACAGACACTTTAATTTTATTTATTTGTATAGATTAACATTTATTTGGGGTTGAAGTGAATGGTCACAAAAATTTGTTATTTTAGTTTTAAATACATTACATATACCCTTTAACTGAGGCAGTACCATTATTTATGTAGGAATCGGTGGTGCAGTTGTGGCATATGTGACTGCTGTACTAAAGTCTTGGGTTCGATCAAATGTTTGTATGATCTGCGAAAATTGGTTTCGGAGTTTGGGTGTTTTCCATGTTTAATATGTATGTACTAGCTGACCCGCGCAACTTCGTCTGCGTCTCTCAATAGTAATAAATTTTCTCCGTTTTTGAAACATTCTTCATTGGTGCTCCGCTCCTATTGGTCTTAGCGTGATGATATATAGCCTGTAGCCTTCCTCAATAAATGGGCTATCTAACACTGAAAGAATTTTTTAAATCGAAAAGTAGCAAAGTAGTTCCTGAGATTAGCGCGTTCAAACAAACAAACAGACTCTTCAGCTTTATAATATTAGTATAGATTTACAATAAAAAGGTAAATAAATGTTCAACTAAACAACTATCATTTCATTTCATTAGATCACGAGATTGGATACTATACTACTATTTCATCCCTAACTAAGTCTACCTTAAAACTGAATGAAAAAAAAAACTATCAATTGCGTTGCTTTGTTCAGTTTACATAAATTAAGATGTATTAATAATTACTTCACACATCTCACACACGGCCCAAGTCCCAAGGTCCAAAGCTAAGCAGATCTTGTCTATGGTAACCAGACCGCTAATAAACATAATTTCTCAATATAGGGGAGAGTAACCAATATTGAACCCGCGTATTATATTTCTACCAAAATGGCACTATTTGGAGCGCTATAAAATAGCGGAGTGTTAGTGGCGCTGCTAGCTCTCCATTTTGTGTTGCTAGTGTAAAATAATAGTGCTATTTTGGTAAAAATTCACATGTGGTCCAATTTAAGTGCCGGTTCAATATTGGTTACTCTTCCCTATAGGATATTATAGATAAATTAAACCCAGACGCTGGACAAATTATCATGTTCATGCGCGTAATTGTTTATTGTGGGTGGGAATCGAACCTAAAACTTTGAAGTCAGGATCACTAATCGCTTGACCTACATTGCAATAATTGGTTATCATTTGCCTGCCCTATCCCAAATTCCCTCTTGTTTTTAATTACGAGGGGTGATCAATAAGTAATGATAATCGAGTATTTCTAGAACGCACAAAAACCCAAATTATTTTTTTTCCGCTTGCTTATATATCCACTACTTCAGCTTCAAAAAAAATGTATAAATAGGACACCATTACCGGGAGATACATTCATTTGAATACGAACTGTCGAAGAGAAAACATCAAAATGGAGAAAAATGAAATAAGAGCTGTCATCAAGTACCTCTGCCTGAAAAAAATGTCTACCAAAGACATACGCAGCGACTTAGAGGAAACATTGGGGGAGTCTGCTCCTCCATATTCCACAGTCGCACGCTGGGCAAAGGAATTTAAGCTGGGCAGAACCTCCACTGAAGATGAACATCGCGAGGGACGCCCTTCCACGTCCCTTACTGGAGAAAACGTCAAAAAAGTGGAAGATATCGTGTTGGCCGATCGAAGGGTGACCGTAAGGCATGTAGCTGAGGTCACAGGGATCTCCTATGGCAGCGTTCAAAAAATCATTGTCAACAAAATGCATATGAAAAAGGTCTCTGCGCGTTGGGTACCGAGAATGTTAACCGACGAGCAAAAAAAGAAACGAGTCGACATTTCGAGGGTGAATCTTCAAAAGTTCCAGGCCGATAAAGAATTTTTTTTGTCGCGTTTTGTGACCATGGACGAGACCTGGATCCACCACTCTGATCCCGAAACCAAACAACAATCAATGACTTGGAAACGAGCTTCCTCACCAACGCCGAAGAAATTCAAAGTGTCAAGTTCAGCGGGAAAGGTTATGGCGTCTGTTTTCTGGGATGCAGAAGGAATTATTATGGTGGAATATTTGGAAAAGGGGGCCACTATAACAGGCTCTTACTACGCAGGCCAAATAAGAAGATTGCGAGAAGCTATTAAGTCAAAAAGACGCGGTAAACTGCGCGCTGGAGTGCTGTTTCACCAAGACAACGGCCCCGGCTCACAAAGCCGCAGTTGCGATGGCTGCCATTGAAGAAACGGGGTTCGAACTGCTCGAACACCCTCCCTATTCGCCAGATCTAGCTCCCAGTGACTTCTACCTCTTTCCTCGGCTCAAAGAACACCTCCGGGGCAACAAATTTGAGGACAATAGTGAAGTGATGGCCGCAGTAGAGGCATTTTGGGAGGGTCAAGACAAAGAATTTTTTTCTAAGGGAATCATGGGCTTAGAAAAAAGATACACTAAATGTATTAACTTGCAAGGAGACTATGTTGAAAAATACAATACTTTTTTTAATCTAATAGTTCTGTTTCATATTGATTATCATTACTTATTGATCACCCCTCGTAGTTCTTACATTTTTATTTCTTTAGTAAGTAATTTTGGATTATAACCGTTCTAAATTTGGATAAATAAATAAAAATCGTTTATTTATATATTTTTTTATATTGCAGCCGCCTACCCAATGGCAAACATAATCCATTGTAAGTTATTAAATAATTGAATTAAATAGAATCGTGTTTTATGCTTCTTCTTGCACTAGTTATAAATAGTAATAAAACTCGAAACAATAGAATAATACCATTGGGTTGGTTTCTGCAATATAATATGCTGAGGAAGCATAAATCAAAATGGTATGTAGAAAGTTGTAGTTAGAACGTAAATGATGGTTTCTCAGAATATCTATATAGAATAGAATATCTATAGACCTATTTAAAAGGACCTTTTAAATATCCGTGTGGTGACGGGTTAAGAATACGGAATGTCACCACCCCTATTCATCTCATGGGTGTCGTAAGAGCCGATTACTGGAACAAACTACGCAGGACAACAGCACTGCAAAAAGAATGAATACTTGACACAAACCCTATATCAACCTTTTATTATTATTTATTTTTTTCCGTGCGGAAATCCCCTCGGATACCACCTATCGGTGGCATGTCGGACTCGAACCGACTAAAACCGCACGCCGTCTCGGGTACTAATAGCCGGGGAACCAGGTATACCCTAGAAAGGAAGTCCCTGGTGCAACCCTATATCAACCTGTCTGGACAGAGTGGTATAGTAGGCCAAAACCTCCTTACTAAGCAGAGCCCTATGTCCAGCAGTGGACTATTAAAGGCTGTCAATGTGTGATGATAATCTTTTAAAAAACACCTTTTATCTCCTAGATCGCCATTAAATATCAACTTTTGTAATCTATATTACTATTGAACATCCACATCACGGTTAAGAATTACTTTTATCTTATCACTTAGATCACCATTAAAAATTACCTTTCATTACCTAGATCACCAATAAGAATTGTCTTTTATCACCTAAATCACCCATAAGAATCATCTTTTAGCTTATCACTTAGAATTACTTAAATCAGCAATAACGCCAATAAGCATCACCTTTTAACTTCTAGATCAACATTAAAATAACCGTTTATTACCTAAATTACCAAAAAATATCACTCGCTATCACCATTAACAATTGTTTTTCGAAAAATTGTATTCGTATATTTACTTTAAGTAGAATATATTTACAGCGCAAGTCTTTATTAAGTATTTGACGATATAGGTGTAAATTAAGGACGTAGAACGATCTCCGTCCTCCATAAGCGCAGGCCTGGGGGTGACAGGTGAGGCCATCTATCACCCTAGCAGAAGCAGGCCGGGGTGGCGGCGAGCGCGTTGCGAAGCGCGCTCGCGTCCAGGGAGCAGAGGGAACATGGGGTTCCCACACACGGGGGGGGTCGTCTACTCGTCTGTAGATGGCCCGAGGTATGTCGGGGCACCAGGGACTTCCTTTCTAGGGTATACCTGGTTCCCCGGCTATTAGTACCCGAGACGGCGTGCGGTTTTAGTCGGTTCGAGTCCTACATGCCACCGACAGGTGGTATCCGAGGGGATTTCCGCACGGAAAAAAAGTGTAAATTAAGGAAATTGTGTTTGGTAAATACAGCTCTTCTAGTTCTAATACCCTTAGGTTGCTGCATTTAAATGTATATCGTTATTTGTCTCTCTCAGCCGCTCTCACACAGTCTTCACGATAGTGGTCCACATGAAAGAGAACAGCCCCGAGGGTGAAGAACTTGTGAAGATCGGGAAACTCAACCTGGTGGACTTGGCTGGTTCGGAGAATATTAGCAAGGCTGGCTCCGACAATCCTGCAAAGAAGGAGAGAGCTCGTGAATGTGTCAATATTAACCAATCGCTGTTGACACTCGGGAGGGTCATCACGGCGTTAGTGGAAAGACATCCTCATATACCTTACAGGTTAGTGGTCGTCTCTTAATTTTTTTTTATTTTTTTAAGCTCCACATTTCTTCCTTACTCTTTTCACCCGACGCCTAGAAAGAGGGTTGTTTTTCGAGTGTGTGTGTGTGTATTTGGTACGCTCTGTGGCCTAAAGGCTTGATAATTTTGGCGATTGAAATGTCGTTACATTTGTCTTATTGAGTAGATGGCTAGGTTTAAACTAAATTATTACGCCTGCATTATTAAACGCAGACCTCCTTAATAAGCTGGACTGATTTCTCCATAACTGCATTCGGTATATTTACAACCTTCGCAAGTATGACCACGTGTCTGCCTTACGTTCCCAACTGAACTGGTTACCAAATCACCTGCGCCGCAATCAGCGAGCTCTGACTTTTTTGTTTTCATTTCTCACCTCCCCATCTTCACCTACTTACCTTGCTCCCTACCTCCGTTTCTTGTCGTCTAATCACTACAAAAATCAGCGCTCTCCTTCCCACAATTCCGACTTCGTGAACTCTTCGTTCTTCGTTCAAGCAGTTCTACTCTGGAATGTTGAAGTCAGGATGTCCACGAATATAATGCAAATATATGTGTAGATGTACATATATGTATAGTGTATACGAGGGGTGATCAATAAGTAATGATAATCGAGTATTTCTAGAACGCACAAAAACCCAAATTATTTTTTTTCTGCTTGCTTATATATCCACTACTTCAGCTTCAAAAAAATGTATAAATAGGACACCATTACCGGGAGATACATTCATTTGAATACGAACTGTCGAAGAGAAAACATCAAAATGGAGAAAAATGAAATAAGAGCTGTCATCAAGTACCTCTGCCTGAAAAAAAATGTCTACCAAAGACATACACAGCGACTTAGAGGAAACATTGGGGGAGTCTGCGCCTCCATATTCCACAGTCGCACGCTGGGCAAAGGAATTTAAGCTGGGCAGAACCTCCACTGAAGATGAACATCGCGAGGGACGCCCTTCCACGTCCCTTACTGGAGAAAACGTCAAAAAAGTGGAAGATATCGTGTTGGCCGATCGAAGGGTGACCGTAAGGCATGTAGCTGAGGTCACAGGGATCTCCTATGGCAGCGTTCAAAAAATCATTGTCAACAAAATGCATATGAAAAAGGTCTCTGCGCGTTGGGTACCGAGAATGTTAACCGACGAGCAAAAAAAGAAACGAGTCGACATTTCGAGGGTGAATCTTCAAAAGTTCCAGGCCGATAAAGAATTTTTTTTGTCGCGTTTTGTGACCATGGACGAGACCTGGATCCACCACTTTGATCCCGAAACCAAACAACAATCAATGACTTGGAAACGAGCTTCCTCACCAACGCCGAAGAAATTCAAAGTGTCAAGTTCAGCGGGAAAGGTTATGGCGTCTGTTTTCTGGGATGCAGAAGGAATTATTATGGTGGAATATTTGGAAAAGGGGGCCACTATAACAGGCTCTTACTACGCAGGCCAAATAAGAAGATTGCGAGAAGCTATTAAGTCAAAAAGACGCGGTAAACTGCGCGCTGGAGTGCTGTTTCACCAAGACAACGCCCCGGCTCACAAAGCCGCAGTTGCGATGGCTGCCATTGAAGAAACGGGGTTCGAACTGCTCGAACACCCTCCCTATTCGCCAGATCTAGCTCCCAGTGACTTCTACCTCTTTCCTCGGCTCAAAGAACACCTCCGGGGCAACAAATTTGAGGACAATAGTGAAGTGATGGCCGCAGTAGAGGCATTTTGGGAGGGTCAAGACAAAGAATTTTTTTCTAAGGGAATCATGGGCTTAGAAAAAAGATACACTAAATGTATTAACTTGCAAGGAGACTATGTTGAAAAATAAAATACTTTTTTTAATCTAATAGTTCTGTTTCATATTGATTATCATTACTTATTGATCACCCCTCGTATATAGGTGTAGGTTGACTGGAAGAGAACAAAAGTGCAAAGTTATTAATAAATAAATGTAACATCTTAAAGTACAACCTGAAGTGTTCTTCATTACCAATTTAATGCTTCTGTTAATTTGAGCTATAAAAATCACATAAAATAGCCAGGTATGACGTCTCGAAATAGTATTTCATACAAAAATGTACCGCGCCTATCGTTTTGACGATTAAAAACATGCTGAGGGCCTAAAAGTTTTGTCAAATCAATTCGCTCTCGATAGCCAGCGCCTTCGGCTTTGCGATTGGTGGAGATTTCGGCGTGGGCCAATCGCAGCGCCGAATGGTCACCGTACCAATTAAGTAGATGTGAAATAAACTACGGCCTCTGATTTGACTTAACAATCATCTACCTTATTGTAATAGTAACACTGGGTATATAAAAATTACAAAAAAAAATAATCGCCGGTTTCTGTATTTTTAGTATACATTTTTACGCAGTTGGGTCTTTGTTTTGATAATTACCTTGTTTGACACACTTATTTCATTTCGCAGAGAGTCAAAGCTGACTCGTATTCTTCAAGAATCGCTCGGAGGTCGAACCAAAACTTCAATCATTGCTACCATTTCACCCGGACATAAAGACTTGGAGGAGACCATGAGCACGTTGGAGTATGCTCACAGAGCCAAGAACATCCAGAACAAACCAGAAGTGAACCAGAAAATGACCAAGAAAGCTATACTGAAGGAGTATGCTGAAGAAATTGATAGATTAAAGAGGGACTTGCAGGCATCTAGAGATAAGAATGGTTCGTATCCCCACAATGAATACTGGAGACAGAATAGCATTCAACTTTTTATGTATACCTGTATAACTTGAAGCATCACTATAAAGATAGTAACAGACAAAATATTTTGGTCACTTAGCAAATATATATTTTTTAATTTTATGATGCTTAGGCTTTTGTTTTTCACAAAATTTATTTTATTGTAGTGGGTTCGAAACCCACTGAGGACAAATAGTTGTGTTCATCACACAACTATTTGTCCTGAGCACGATCATTTGTTCTGTCTAATTTATCGATTGTATGTATGTATTTAGAAATATGACCTTGACTGCTACGCCAGAGGTCGTGGGTTCGATTCCCACCCAGGACAAATAATTGTGTGATGAGCACGGTCATTTGTTCTGTGTCTGAGTGTAATTTATCTATAATATGTATGTATTTAGAAATATATAAGTATGTTTATCAGCAGTCTGGTTACCATAGCTCAGGCTCCGCCTAGTTTGAGCTCAAACGGCCATCTGGGAGACATATCAAGATGTTACTATTATTATTTCAGGCGTATATCTAGCTAGCGAAACATACGCTGAAATGACTATTAAAGAAGAAGAGCAACGGAAGGAGATACAGGAACTCTTACTCAAGAAGAAGGCGATGGAAGACGAGCGAGACCGCATGGAGGGAGTTTTTGGTGAAATGAACCAAACGCTTGAGAACAAGAATAATGAATTGATGACTACTATGAACCAACTGAATAATACGAAGGTGGCGTTGGCTAGCACCAGTCAAGTAAGTATCTACGGAGAAAGGAAGATTACTTACATAAATCATCTATTATTTTGGGCTACTCACAACTGTGGGAGAGCCATGCTTTGGCACAAAGGCCAGCTGTTACTACGGTCTCAGAGAAGCTTCATCAATCACTACTCCCCTTCCCTTGATTCCTGAATTGTATGCGTCCTTGGGCGGCATTAGTTGGTTACCTTCAGGTGACCCATCTGCCTGTTTGCGACCCCCTTTTTTACTTAAAAAAAATTCGTTAAAAATTGTCTACTGGCCCTGGTGCTTAATCTACCAGTAAGCAGTCTCTCATTTTCATGGGCCATTCAAGTTTGTGCTGGGCCTGGTATTGCGTAGAGATGTAGCTTTAGCAGAGTAGTACAAGGAATTGTTCGGATATTATAAGATGCATCTTTTTGCAATCATTCTACACCATCACACCAGTGATGGTGTAGAATGATAGATCACCATCATCACCACTTTTCTTCATCGGTGGTGCGACTGCCTCGATTGTGCAGTGGTAACGTATGCGACTGCTGTGCTGAGGTCTCGGGTTCGATTCCCGGGTCAGACCAAACGTTTGTATGATCTGCAAATATTTGTTTCGGAGTTTGGGTGTTTCCTATGTTTAAATATGTATGTATTTAAAAAAAAAGTATATAAGTATTCTATCAGTCAACCTAGCTTTCATATTACAGCTTTGCTTAGTTTGAAACTCCGTGTGGTGACGGATTAAGAATACAAATTGTCACCACCCCGATTCATCCCGTGGGTGTCGTAAGACCCGACTAAGGGAGCAAACCAAGCAGGACAACAGCACTGCAAAGAGAAGGAAAACTTGAAACAAACCCTATACCAACCCGTCTGGCCAGCGTGGTATAGTAGGCCAAAACCTCCTTTCTAAGGAGAGGCCTATGTCCAGCAGTGGACTAGTATAGGCTGTTGATGATGATGATAGTTTGAAACTAGATGGCGTTGTGTGTTAATGTCCGAAAATATTATATTATTAAAGAAATATTGTTATTATTGTCGTCTGCAGTATTCCAGACCGATACGACCTTATTTTAATAAAAGAGTTGTACTCTCATTTGTCACTCTTGAGTTGCCGATGTCAATGGACAGTGGTAGTCACTTACCATCAGGTGACACCAGGTGTCTGCTTTAACATGGCGCTGATAATTGTTTTGATCGCATGTAAATCTATATCCATACATCAACAGCCTATACTAGTCCACTGCTGGACATAGGCCTCTCCTTAGAAAGGAGGTTTTGACCTACTATACCACGCTGGCTGTACGGGTTGGTATAGGGTTTGTTTCAAGTTTTCCTTCTCTTTGCAGTGCTGTTGTCCTGCTTAGTTTGCTCCCTTAGTCGGCTCTTACGACACCCACGGGATGAATTGGGGTGGTGACAATTCGTATTCTTAATCCGTCACCACACGGACTATATCTATAATGAATGTTTTTGTTTCCAGCAATTGGTTGTTACAAAAGTGGCGTGCGAGGAACAACAGCATTTGGTAGAAGTCCACAAGTCGACTGAGCAGACGCTGAGCGGCCAGGCGCGGGAGCTGCTGGCCACGGCTGACGTGGCCACCAAGCACGTCGAGTGCCTTCACCACGTCGTGGACAAGCGCAAGTATGTACCAACCTACCGAAACATTAACATGGCTGTATATTTCTGAAACTTATTGATGTGAAAAATTAGACCGGCTGTTGGGGTGGTGGCGCGTCGCTTTTCTGTAACATGTGTGACTACGCGTCGCCATGCGCAAGTGGCTCTGTGACTCTCACGCCGATTATCAAAGTGATTTTATACTCATTATTCCTACATAATAATTTTGATATTTCACATCTGTCAGACCATAAATTAAATTAAATCTATAGCTCATTCTTGAAAAAACATTTATTGAAATCGTTAAAAGAATAATTTGTTATTAGAAAGGTGCTGTTACCCTGTGATTGACTATAATATAGTAGTTGAAAGCCTTGATGGTGCAGTAGTAACGTATGCGACTGCTGTGCTGAGGTCTCGGGTTCGATTCCCGGGTTAGGGCAAACGTTTGTATGATCTGCAAGTTTTTTATATGTATAAAATGTATGTATTGACAAAAAAATGTATATAAGCATTCTATCAGTCAATCTAGCTTTCATAGTACAAGCTCTGCTTAGTTTGAAACGAGATGGCGTTGAGTGTGAATGTGCGAAAATAATATTAATATTATTATTCTTTTTATTATATTTTAAATTCAATATAGATTACATTGTAAATATATTATAAAAGAAAAAAAATATATTGAAAAATATAAAAAGTAGTTATCCCGGTACAAGGACCAGGACACCGATGGTTAGGACTCCAAAGACAGAAACCTCTTCATGGTACCATAAATCAATATTATATATATTGTCTCGATGCTGTCCATGGCTATACTTCTGAAATTTTGTTTTCTGTAGGACTGTGGAGTCGACCAACTTAGAGGTAACGAGGACTTACCGCGAGCAGTCTCATCAACAGCGCGAGGCCGTCACGGCTGGAGTGCTGCAGCTCTGGCAGACTCTCGCACAAGCCCTCTCCACTCTGCACAATGCCTTAGGTAAGCACTTATGTTTCTTGATTGGAGGTGTCCACGGACAATGATAATCATTTCAAATCAGGCCCGTATGCTTCTTTATATAGTTTTTAATATCTAACGATTTTTAGGGAGGAAGGGGTTTGGGTTGAATCCTGTGAGTTGCTCTTGGTTAATGTCTGTTGCAGTATATTGAACTATAATGAGTCTGGGTGTTCTTTGTGTCCGTTTAATGTATGCTTGTAAAATCCCCTGCTACAAAGGATATATTTCTAGTGCGGGAGTTGTCCTTTAAAAAAAAAACATAGATTGACAAATTTTTAAGTGAGTATTAATTTGATTAAAATTGACTTATAAAAATGAAAAGCGTAACGATTATATCAAGATAATTAAGTTATAAAAGTAGACAGTCGAATGGAATGAATTCATGACATTCTTAAATACATTAATAAAAAAGGGTATTCATTTGTTTCAGAATCGTACACGACGTCCAGTACCCAAACGCAAGAACAAAACAAGCAGCAGTTAGACAATTTGATACAGTCCTTTGTGAAGATCGTTAGTCAGGTAAGGATGTAAGGCGTTTTAGGCATTGTACGAGGGTGCGTTTTTAAGTTCGCGGAACGAGAGGGTTGGAGGGGAGTGATTAGGCTCATTAGAATGTTTAGTGACTCATAATTAGTATAAATACTAGGTTTCATTGTTATTAGACAATTAGTCTTTGAGTTATCGTCAACAAAGCAACATAATCGGGAGTGAAAAGTGAAACATGGAAAAAATCGAATATCGTGCCGTTATAAAGTTTCTTACCATGCAAGGAAAATCAGTTGCGACCATAATAAATGAGATGTCATTGGTTTACGGCGACTCTTGTCCAGGAAAAACCATGATGTACAAATGGCACAGTTTATTTAAACAAGGAAGGAAATCCCTTGAAGACGACCCGAGGCCGGGCAAGAGCATCGAGGTGATCACGCCAGAACTTATCCAAAAAGTAGAAAAAATTGTACTCGACGATGCTCGACTAAAGAAGAAACAACTCGCAGAAATGGTTGGAGTATGTGATACAACCATTTTTAGAATTCTGCACGATCATTTTGGCATGACAAAGGTCAGTGCAAGATGGGTGCCGAGAATGCTCACGCCGACGCAAAAACAACAGCGCGTAGAGTGTTCACGTGTATTTTTAGACCTTTGTAATGAAGACAAGGATGCTGTATTGAGTAGAATTGTTACTGGAGACGAAACTTGGGTTCATCATTATGAACCTGAGTCGAAACAAGACGCCATGCAGTTTCATAAAAAGGGCACAGCACCTCCCAAGAAGTTTAAGGTGTCACAGTCAGCTGGGAAACTCATGGCAACGGTCTTTTGGGACTTTATTGATCGATTATAAAGATAAAGGTGTTTCTATAACCGGAGAATACTATGCTTCAATATTAGAGTGACTTAAAGAAGCCATTAAAGAGAAAAGACGGGGAAAATTGACAAAAGGTGTGTTGCTTTTGCACGACAACGCGCCCGTCCACAAGAGCCGCGTTGCGTTGGCTGCCTTGCATAAGGTGGGCTTCGATATTTTGAATCACCCCAGACCAGCCCAGACCTGGCCCCCAGCGATTATTACCTGTTTCCAAAAATGAAAAAAGAGCTGCGGGGTAAAAAAATTACCAATGATGATGAAGTCAAGGAGGCAGTTTAAGCGTATTTTGAAGACAAAGAGAAATCATTTTTTTATATATCCGTCTTGCAGGTGAATATATTGAAAAGGAAAAATAATTTGGTTTTTTTATTTCCACCTCTTATCCTTCATTTCGCGAACATAAAAACGCTCCCTCGTAATTACGTAAATAAAACTCATATTATATGAAAGATATTGTTCAGCTGATCGCTAACATAAAAACGCTCCCTCGTAATTACGTAAATAAAACTCATATATATGAAAGATATTGTTCAGCTGATTGCTAACCGTTCATTAGCGATGACTCCTTTGTTTTTATAACTGCATGGCATTTTTTTTGCAAGAATTAACTAATTAAAGCGTAGCAAAGTTTTAACGAATAGGTGTCTAATTTGGATAATAATGTAGATTAAAAGTGAAGTCTAATACGATGTGATGGTGCTTTAATATTGTTCCAGATGAAGGTTATATCGGTGGAGAGCCAGGGCGCGCTGTCGGGCGCGCGCAGCGAGCACTTGGAGCGCGTGGAGGCCGCCTTGGCGCAGCGCGGCTCTCGTGTGGGCGGGGCTCTGCGGGCCCTCGCCCTGGCCGCCGCCGCCGCTCTGCAGCGGGCCGAGGGGCTCGACGTGCACCATCATCTCGCTACCTTCGTGCAACATTGGGTACGTACACGTTTATCTGGGACTAGTTTCATTTATTTGTACTTTTATTCAATATTTGTGTCATTTTGACATTTATACGATCAATTAAATATATAAGGGGTGTAAGTATAAAACAAAAACGTTAAGATCATTGGAAAGTATGGAAACAGAAATGTAATATCAGTTTCGGTGGCAGATAAGTAATGTAGCGTGTTGTTTCCCTCAGCACGTCGGAGCCGGCGCGCGCGTGTCGTCAGTGCGTCGCGCGCACGCGGCCCTGTGCGGCGCGGCGGGGGAGGCGCGCGGGCGGCACGCGGCGGCGCAGCGCGCTCAGCGGGAGGGGCGGCGCCAGCGCGTACTGAACAGAGCCGCGCGCCTACAGGCCTGCATGGCGGTCAGTACCTCCGTCACCATATACTTCATTTTAGTGTCCGACCGAAACTGATTTTTACGACCGAAACCGAAACCGAATTTCGGCAACGGTCTCAATTTCGGCCGAAACCGAAACTTTCTTATAAGGATCATGTTTTCAGAGAAAAATAAAGAAAATATATTATAATCAGTCAGTTTTAATTTTTTTACTTTAAATCACATAGGTAGCTTTAATACTTATTTATTTATGTTGTTACCTAATATCACAATAGTTATAGATGGATAGATACTAAATATTTTTTAGTAATGATTTAATTTTTTTATGGTAAACTTGATTCTACTATAATCTAGGTACACCTTTGTTATATTAAATTACTTTTCGAGGTACTCTTATATTATATCACATGATAAACAAATAGGTTACGACATGATTACGCACGTGGCCAAATGTCATCGTCGCTTGGATGTCATTTACCGCGCCGTACACACCCGAGCACAGCGCGGAAACTCCCGAATGCAGTTTCGGTTTCGGTCGTAGTTTCGGCAGGTTTGCTGCCGAAACCGAAACTCGTTTTTTTGCCGAAACTCGACCGAAACCGAACATTCGGTCGGACACTACTTCATGTATAGTTAATCTAACATTAGCTTCAAAATTCATTCATTTGTTATATTTACCAAAAAAATACCAATTTAAATATACTTATAACAAAACACTAAACACACACAATACAGATAGAATAAATGACCTGCCTTATTAACACTCAATCTTTGATACGAAAAACATAATTATAATCTATTCACGTTAATAAAATAGTGACGCATCGAAGATAAAGCTGTATTCGAAATAAACATTTAAACTTACTTTATACAACAATTTATCTAATTTATATAATTCTCATATCGCGGTGTTTGTTACCAAACTCCTCCGAAACGGCTTAACCGTTTTGATATTTAACAATTTACAACCTCCATGCTCGAAATCTTACAAAATATTGATGATATAATATTTTAAAATGTGGATCTCATCTTTACAGGAAATACAAGAAGACTCTGCTCACTTGCAACAATGTTTAACTGATTTACTATCTGAAATCGAAACTGAAAGGCAAGATATGGAGACCCGGCTTGAAGAAAGAATGGCAGAAGAACGTAGACTGCTAGAAGAACGACTTGCCAGACACGCTGAAATCGAGAGGAATGCCTTAGAAGCGAGACTAGCTAAGAAAATGACAAAACTAGAGGAATTAAAGAATGTTCTAGAACAAAAGAAATATCGTTATAAACAGTTACATGAAATACAATTTGAGGCAGATAAAGAAGAATTGCAAATGGCCGATGAGAATTTAGAAGAGTGTGTGACTTTTGAAGAGGATTACAGTAAATACATGAAAAAATATCAAACGGAGTTTGAGGAAGGTAAATGAAAATTATTTTTAATATTAAAACTATTAACATACAATGCTTGTAGCTGTGGTCATATGGATATTTGTAGATAGAATGTTGTGATAGCTTCGAAAAAAATAGTGTCCAACAGTTGGCCACTAAGTTCCGCTGTCGCTGTGTGTGTCAGCTGTGTTGTCGCTGTTATGTCGCACGCATACAAGCGTAATAAACTTTAGCCATTTATTTTAGTGTTATTTTGTAGAACATCACTCTATCTAGACATAAATTATCTAAGACTCGTGGTCACATCTTTGAAATAGTTTATCCACGAATTTAGAACATTTTCAAAAGGTACAGAAATTCAAAGCGTTGTTCTGTTGTAGGTACGGACGCCATAAGTGTTGACATGGAAGTGTTCAGTAAGAATGTTGTGGAGGTTGTGGAGCATCTCAACAATCAAGTGCTACAGATATTGGACGAGACTAAAACACAAATAGAGGTAAGGCAGCCTTTTGATCTATTATCAACAGCTTTTAGCAGTCCACTGCTGAATATAGGCCAATGAAAAAACTGAGATGAAAAATATCGTATGAAATACGGTCGACAACTGTCGGTGCTTTTTAGACCACACATAGCTCTGACACATCTTTTTTGGGCTTTGAATACAAGTTCTCTATCCACTGAATTGCCCCAGTATATTACGCCATATCTCAGTGTTGATGCAGCGTAACCGTGATAGGCCATTAGTACGGATTCTAGGCTTAGTATTTTTGATAGTTTATAAAGAACATAGGCAAATTTATTTAGTTTTTTACATACTTCGTCTGTCTGGGATTTCCAGGTCAAATTATTGTCTATATTAATACCAAGAAATTTAGTAGTAGTATTTGATTCTATTTTTGTCCCTAAATAGCTATTGTCAAGAATTTTATTTGGTGGTACATTAAAGGGATTTAACCACCACCAGGATTTTACCACGCTGTATAGCAAGCCATAGGCCAGACGAGTTGGTATAGGGATTGTTTCAAGTTTTCGTTCTCTTTTCAGTGCTGTTGTCCTTCGTAGTTTGCTACCTTACTCTTATAGATAATAGTTTTCTATAGTTCTTACGATACTTAAATACGGTTGTATAGAGGTGGTGATAGTCTGTATTCTTAACCTGTCACTACACAGACAACCAGAAGGCAAATTTTCGTAATAAACGTTCGGAGACAATTCATCAACATCATCAACAGCCTATAACAGTCCACTGTTGGACATAGGCCTCTCCTTAGAAAGGAGGTTTTGGCCTACTATACCACGCTGGTCAGACGGGTTGATATAGGGCTTGTTACAATTCTTGCGAGGTTGGCCCCGATCTGTCGGACGCCCAATTCGGTTTCCGAGCGGGGCGTTCGACGATCGATGCCGTAATGCGCCTTAGGGCCGTGACCGAGGAGGCCGTGAGCTGCGGCGGAGTGGTGTTGGCGGTGTCCTTGGACATCGCCAACGCCTTCAATAGTCTGCCATTCAGCTGCATCAGGGAAGCGCTCCGCTACCACGGAGTGCCGGAGTACCTGAGGCGGCTGGTGGCAGACTACCTTGAGGAGCGAACCGTCATGTACGAGGACCGAGATGGCGTCTTGAGACGCAGGGCCATGTCGTGCGGTGTTCCGCAGGGGTCTGTCCTAGGACCACTCTTGTGGAACATTGGATACGACTGGGCCCTACGAGGGCGTCTCCCCCCCGGGCTGGGTGTACTCTGCTACGCAGATGACACTTTAGTCACGGCCCGGGGGGCTAACTTCCAGGAGGCGGCGCGCCTGGCCGCCACGGGAGTTTCCCAGGTGGTCGGGCGCATTGAGGCGTTGGGATTACGGGTGGCCCTGGATAAGACGGAGGCCCTATTATTTCATGGGCCCCGTCGTGGTCCACCCGCCGGCGCCTCAATCGAGGTCGGCTCGGTCCTCGTACCGGTCCGGGCCCAGATGAGGTACCTGGGTCTGGTCCTAGACGGTAGGTGGCTCTTCGACGAGCACTTCCGACAGCTTGGTCCGAAGCTGGTGGACACTGCCTCCACCCTAGGGCGACTTTTGCCCAATTTGGGCGGGGCCAGTGTTCCCACGAGGCGGCTGTACGCGGGGGTTGTCCGGTCCATGGCGCTTTATGGTGCACCGGTGTGGGTGGCGGCTCTGACCGCCCCGAATAGGGCGCGCCTCTGGCGCCCCCAGAGGATATTGGCGGTCAGAGCCATACGCGGATACCGCACGGTGTCCACCGAGGCGGCTTGCGCCTTGGCCGGAACACCCCCGTGGGATTTGGAGGCGGAGGTGCTCGCCGAAGTTTATCGGCGAGTGGCTGACTTCCGGGCGGAGAGCGGATTTCGTCCTCCGCCCGAAGACGTGCGCGAGTGGCGCGAAGCCGCTCGCCGAGCCACCATGGTTAGATGGTCGTTCCGGCTGGAGACTCCACGCGCTGGCTTCGCCGCCGTGGAGGCTCTCCAGCCGGTCATAGCCGAGTGGGCAGGGCGGCAGCACGGGGCCCTTTCCTTCCGGCTGACGCAGGTGCTTTCCGGGCACGGTTGCTTCGGAAAGTACCTGCACTCGGTCGCTAGGAGGGAACTGAGTCCCGCCTGCCACCACTGCGACTGCAGTGAGGACTCGGCCCAGCACACGCTGGCGGTCTGCCCCGCATGGGCGACGCAGCGCCGGGCCCTCACTGCAGTCATCGGAGCAGATCTCTCGCTACCGGCCGTAATTCGCTCCATGGCCGGTAGCGACAGTTGTTTTACCGCGGTCGCAACCTTCTGCGAGGAGGTAATCTCGCAGAAGGAGGCGGCGGAGAAGGCCCGGGAGGACGACCTCCACTCGGACCTGATCCGCCGCCGGCGAACCGGGCGGCGGAGGCGCGCTTACCTGCGCCTCATGCCGCCCTGAGTGTGGCCGCGGGTGGACGGGGTGGGTTTCCCCTCCACCCGCATTAGTTGGCCAGCCGCGAGGGGGCGGCGTCCGCGTGTGCCGGAAGTCGCCTAAAGAGAGGATAATTGAAGACGGAGCCCGCACCAGGAGCGGGCCGGCGCTGGGAGGGGTCCAGAAGGCGATAACTACCTGGACCCCTCCTAAACTGGAAGCGCAAAGAGGGCACACCGTGTGGTTTTAGTCGGTTCGAGTCCGACACACCACCCCGCCGCAAACCCCGGTGGGGTGACGGTCCGAGGGGATTTCCACACGTTAAAAAAAAAAAATAAAAAAAAAGGGCTTGTTACAATTCAGTTTCGATCAAATTTTCTTAGTAAAATAGTAAAGTATTACTAAGACTAACAGATTACTGATTCAATTTTCGGTTACAAAACGATATAATCAAATTACAGTCAACTTTGGAAGTTTAATACTTTACTACGAAATTACCTTTATGACGGTTGTGAGATCGAAAGTTTAAAAGGAAGTGAATTCAGAGCAAAATTTTATTACGATAATTGTTTCTTTCTTTTTGAGGGTTCCGTAGCTCAAAAGGTAAAAAAGGAACCCTTATAAGATCACTTTCTTGTCCGTCTGTCCGTGTGTCACCACCGATTTTCTCAGGAACGGGTAGACCTAGGAAGTTGTAATTTCTACTAGATACTGAGGTCCATGGTCCCTATTAGGAGTATAAAAATCAAGGTCCTGAGTCAACACCATAAAAAGATATGGGCAAATTTCAAGCAAGAACTTGCTTTTAACCAAAATTGACATTACTAGGTCAACCAGAAGTACCCTATAGGTGTTGGGTCGAAAACCTAAATGGTAGTTCCCGTTGACCTAGAATAACGAGGCAAAAAGAAAAGTCTTACAGCACAAATAAAGGAATAATTCCAAAAAATAAAAAAAGTTGACAATTAAGATAAATTTTGGTACTTACAAATTTTAACGAAAATCTACGTAAAATCTGGGTAGGTACGGAACCCTCGGCGCAAGAGTTCGACCCGTACCTGACCGATTTTTTTTCTTTTTATAATTGGCCTTCTGATCTGTACTCATATATAATCGTAGGCATCTTATATCACGATTACACAACAAATTTCATCACCGTTCCCTAAGTAATCACATCACATCAACAGCCTTTAGTAGTCTACTGCTGGACATAGGCCCCTCCTTAGAAAAGAAGTTTTCGCCTACCATACCACGCTGGCCGGGTTAAGTTTGACTCACGTTTTCCTTCCGTGCTGTTGTCCTGCGTAATTTGCTCCCTTAGTCGGCTCTTACGACACCCACGGTACGACACCCAATAGGGGTGGTGACACTCTGTAGTCTTATATATAAGTGTTTGTCTTTCTAGAAATAGATATTATTAAATCCCTTTAATGTATTTTGACTGAGTTTTTCATTTTTGACATTTATGCCCTTACAAATAATGTATTTTTTTAATATATTCCAGCAACAAGTAAACACCGTAATCGCCGACGACCTGACCTCGTGTAAGCAGTTCGTACAGCTAGTGGACGAAACGTTAACCAACGTTGTAGACGCTACCAAAAATATTATGGATGAATTTATCAACAAGATTGAGGTAAGCACTAATAAACTTTAACAATATTTATTGAGTAGGCCTTGTTTCCGTGTTGTTTCCTTGTTTGACGCCCACAGGCCAGGTGGAGTGACGATTTTGCGCAAGACGGCTGGCAGGAGCTGGATGCGAGAAGCTCAAAATCGATCTAAGTGGCGTGCAATGGGAGAGGCCTATGTGGACTGCGAAAGGCTGATGATGATGATGAATGTCACCACCCCTTTTCATCCCGTGGGTGTCGTAAAATTCGATTAAGGGAAAAAAATAAGCAAGATAACACTGCAAAGAGAAGGAAAACTTGAAACAAAGCATGTACCAACCCATCTGGCCAGCGTGGTATAGTAGGCTAAAACTTCCTTTCTAAGGAGAGGCCTACGTCCAGCAGTGGCCTATTACAGGCTGTTGATAATGTGATGAGGCCTTGTTTTAGCACCAGCAACAAGACATTGTCAAACAAGATTGAACAGCTGTCAAAATTGAGCACAATAGGGAATATGCACGTGACACCAAAATGGAAAAAATATTTTTATTTGTAATTTTTATTGCTAAAAAAAGATACCCATACAATAATTTTTGAAATTTATTATAATTTAATAGTGAAATTTAATCATCAAAAATTAGCTTTTTTAAGATTCCCTCGCAAATTTCTAAAACGCAACGCTATTGGTTGAATAAAACGTGACGTCAACCTACACTGTCAAGAGTGTCAACAAGTTGTGTGTATTTGTAATATTTGGTTTCTGGTCATTATTTGTTTCATTTTAAGTTAATAACTAATACGTTTTCATTGTTAAATTATTGAATTCCCGTGTACAAAGACTCAACACAATGACTGAATATACTTTGTCAGGTGCAGTTTTGATATAATTTTGGCACAAAGGAACGGCACAATATTTATAATAAGTTTTTATTGGCTTTTCCATGGTAATAAGTTATTTATATCACTCACTTTTTTAACTTTCACAAACTTTGTGAACTTCACTCCGTTGTTGACATCGAATTCGTCTGAAAGTGTAATCTGACGTCACAAAAAAAGCGCGCCAAAATGGACGTGTTCAAATTGCCCCAAAATGATAGTGATATTAATATTTTTTTTTGCTTAACGGTTTATATTTCGGATGTGTTATATTTATTTTTGGTAATGTAATAATGAGTAGAATCGTTTAAAAAAAATACATGCATATTCCCTATTACGACTGTTTGAAAAAAACATAGTTCTCAAATTAAAAAAATATATATATATTTGTATTTCCTTCACTCTATTATTTTAAGTTTTCTATCAATAGATTTATTCAATGCAATATAATTTTATTTTTAAACATACTGTCAACTCGTTTGTAATATTTAGCCACGCTATGGACAGCGCGTTTGAATTGTACCACTTGTAAATTAGATATATTAAATTTTACAGGATTAATGTGGGTATGCATTAATATTTATTTTGTCTATTAAACTAAGGAATTTTGTATCCCCTAACAAACAAATGCAGAAATTATTCGTATCAATGATGATATGTATGTCATTTTGATCTACAATTTTTTTTATTTCCCAGACAAGCAACAAGGCAGCTATCCAAGACCTTAGCGCTGTATCCACATCGACGTCGCAGCTGATCTGTATGACGCAGAGCTACCACGCCCAGCACTCTGCCTCCAGCCTCGAGGCTCAGTCCCAGGCGCAGGAGCTTCGGGAACAGCTGAGTGGTGCGGTGGAACGGCTCGCGGAGCTGGAGGCGAGGTACCTCTCGCAGGAGTATAAGGTGTACTCACCTACTGGTAAGTCAATTTGTAATTCTCTTATGTACTTTTTATATCGTTTGTTTGACAAATTGTCATGTTGTTTGTGTAAACAGTTACCTCAGCATTCCGTTATTGTGTGAACCTATATCGAAAATTCTTTTTTTTATGTAACATCTAATGCCAAAGGTTCAGACCGTCCTTGCTATGTCTAAAAATATTATTATATTAATTGTTCTATGTTTATTATTTCCCTTAATAAGCTGTCCTTTCATGTTCATTATTTTTACAAAATAACTTCGATATTTCACATCTGCCGACGTCCCGTAACATCGTCCCCTTTTCTATTTGAAAGGGTACAAATGTGTGGTATATTCCATTTCAAGAAAATAAATATCACTCTTAATAATGTAGAATACAGTTTATTTAAATTTTTTATGATATAAATGCATCATTGTCTGTGACACTTTTTAAAACACTAATAATGTTAATTTGCCTGTCGGGTTTTGTTCTATGGATATTAATTTCCTATCCGTGTGGTTACGGATTAAGTATACGGAGTATCACCACCCCTATCCATCCCGTGGGTGTCTTAATAGCCGACTAAGGGAGCAAACTACATAGGTCAAAAACACTGCAAAGATAAATCTTGAAACAAATCCTATAACAACTCTTGCAGTATGGTAAAAACCTCCTTTCGAAGGAGAGACCAATGTCCAGCAGTGGACTATAAAAGGCTGTTGATGATGATGATGATGGCTTTTACAACGATAAGTTGAAGTATACAAAGTCATGGTTTAATAGCCTTCCCCTTTTTAAATAAATATGTAAAGTGTGTACCTTTAATGTTCAAAAAAAGAGTGTAACGGCCGACAACGCACTTGTGACACAAGTTACATGTGCTCTTTTGCCACTTATGCCATAATAAACATACTTATAATTACGTTTTAATGACCTTAATTCTTACAGTACTTGTTGTGTGAATGTGGTAGACTATATTGTATTATTATTATTATAGATGGCATTCGAACCCGCGACCCACTACATCTCAAATTCACCGGAGAATTGATAGTATCAGTTGTTAAATATTACGATGTATTATTTCAGGTAAAACTCCAGCTCGCTCCGACTACCGGTACCCGCGGATGCTGGCCTCAACGTCCCCCCACGAGAGAATACTCGCCCGCTTTAGAGCGATGAGACAGAACAGTGACGAGGTATGACATTTTTATCTATACATCTATACAAATAAATAACATTGGAGTGTCTGTTTGTAATATTAAAATAACCGCTTTTAATAAATGCATATGTATGTTTACACGGTACATATGCCAAAATAACATTTTTTTAAATTTTTGTGCGTCTGTCTGTCTGTTTGTTCCGGGTAATCTCTGGGACGGCTGGACCGATTTCGACGGGACTTTCACTGGCAGATAGCTGGTGACATAAGGAGTAACTTAGGCTACTTTTTTTAGACTAGCTTCGCCCCGCGGCGTTGCCCGCGGTTATAACAACAACCGCGGGTAACACCGCGGGTCTCAGCTAGTCATAAATATATCTATTTATTTATTTGGTATACCAAAAGCATACGTACACTACACAATAATACAATATTCCAATAAAAGATAACGGCTGGTATGTATGCCTCTTTATATATTGAATATTGAGTTGCAGGTGTGCATGGCAGGCGGTACTCACTTACCACCAGAAAATATATCTGCTTGTTTCTCCCCTAAACATTATTGCTCTTATGTTAACTGGCCACAAATTCACAGTGAGATTATTGTGAAATGTAATTTTTTTTTTTTCTTTTCCAGGATGTTATACTAGTAGAATCAGAGCCTGACTCCCGTCCCCCGAGCGATTCGGAGAGCTCCATAGCATCAGAAGACTCTTGCGTCTCTGAAACATATCCACAGTCTGTGAGAAAGGTAACTCCTTTTTTTATATTAGAGGGGGCAGACTAGCACCTGATGAAAAGTGACCATCGAAGCCCATGAACGTCTGCAACTCAGGAGTCACAAACACGTTGCCGGGAACTTATAGGAAGGAGTACGCTCTTTTCCTGAAGGTTTGAAGGTCGTATCGTCCTTACACGAACGAGGTGACTGCACAGATGGCGTAGTGGTTTAAGCGGTCGCCACGCCGCTTCCCACTATGCCGAGTGTTGTGGGTTCGAGTGTTGTGGGACGACACTTTGTGTAGTCCACAAATTGTTGTTCTGAGTCTGGGTGTTCTTTGTGTCCGTTTCATGTATGTTTGTAAAGTCCCCCCGCGACACAGGATATATCCCTAATGTAGGAGTTGTCTTTTAAAAAAAGAAGCTTGACACAAACCCTATACCAACGCGTCTGGCCAGCGTGGTATAGTAGGCCAAAACCTTCTCTCTAAGGAGAGGACTGTGTCCAGCAGTGGACTATTATTACTATTGTGTTAATGATGATGATGTTAGAATCTTGCATATATTGAAGACGCCTGGCTAGTATGATATCTCAAAGACGGCTTTTGTTTCTGATGATAATTACTAAATCACAAAAAGTGTCTTGCTTCTTACCTGGTACTCATACTCTCTGTATAACACGTATTGTTAGGATGTACCATCTTTTGAAACGGAAGGAATCATCATCATCATCAGCCTATCGCAGTCCACTGCTGGACATAGGCCTCTCCCATTGCACGCCACTTAGATCGATTTTGGGCTTCTCGCATCCAGCTCCTGCCAGCCATCTTGCGCAAATCGTCACTCCACCTGGCCTTTGGGCGTCTTACACTACGTTTGCCGCGACGCGATCTCCACTCAAGAACTCGTTTTGCCCAACGATTGTCGTTTCTGCGGCTAATATGGCCAGCAATATTAATCTTTATCTTATTAATAGGTAAAAAAATCTGTTTTATTTGCAGATAAAAGAAGAGAATGGTAAAGAAAACATCCAACGCCCAGTTCCATACAAGAAACCATCTAAACTACCCGCACCCACTTCACACAAGAAACCTTTAGAAGAACGGAACATGAACGGACAATAACATTGAATGCACGGTACCTTATGGTGATAGCGTGATATTATTGTGTTTAAACGTTAACAGATCGGTTAACGTATTAGCTGTAATTATATATATTTAAAGGTTATTCTTTGTAAAAAAAAATTAAGGTATTTGAAGACATTAATACACGTTTGGTATGTACCCGAACTGAATAGAAAGGTTTGATCACATACAGTACGAAATCCTCTGTCGTATTTAAGTCTGATTTTATAATTGCTGAGCATTACGCCTCATGGTATACTTAACCATATCCGACCGGTCTGTTGGTCTAGTCGTTCGAGATGGTAAGACAGAAGTTGTGGTTTCGATTCCTACCTAGGACCAATACTTGTGTGATGAGCACGATTATTTGTTCTGTGTCTGGGTGCATTTACCTATAAATCTGTGTATTTAGAAATGTATAAGTATGTAAAGTCTGGTTGCCATAGTAGAAGCTCTGCCTAGTTTGGGATCAGACCGTGTGTGAGATGTGTAAGGATATTCTATTATTATTTCATTAAAATGGTATTTATTATCGAATAAAATCGGTGATGTGATCCAGCTAGAAGCGAAATATAAAGGAACAACAGTCTTTAAAAGTCCACTGCTGGACATTACCACGCTGGCCAGACGGGTTGGTATAGGTTTGGTGCCAAGTTTTCCTTCTCTTTACAGTGCTGTTGTCGTAGTTTGCTCCCTTAGTCGGTGCTTACGACACCCACGGGATGAATAGAGATACTGTCACTCCGTATTCTTAATCCGTTACCACACGGATAAATATACAGGATGGCAAAACATATTTAATTCGGTTAGTCATTAATATGTTTAGTTTTTTTAAACTAATATCCTTTTTAATTAAAGTAATTGACTTAAGACAGTCAAGAATAGGCTCTGCAAAGTTTTGTCGCTCAGTTAATTAATAATAACTAAAGATTTCAACTGTTCGTTCTAGAATGATCTAGAAACTCTTCATGCTCAAAGTCAGGTTAAGATTGTATGAACTCGATCACCACTTACAAGTTACAATAAGATATTTAACTATATTAAAATCATCACCAATACATATATAAGAAAGTTGACTACATGCAATAGATTCAGTTCAAAAGAATATATAGCTTTTTTATCTGTTCTATATACAAGTGACCATGACGTCAATAAAAAAAAAACAAGTTAATTGTGTATTTTCAATTATTAATAATAATATTACGGATAAAAGTTTCTGTAAAGGCAAAAAAAAGTACAGATCTACTCAGAATTAGTTCTTGAACGATATTGGCGTAAATCCCGATTTTTGTTTCGTCAAAATATAAAATGTAAACAATTATATAGCATGTGGTTTTTTAACTCCATTATAACTCATTAGGGTAGCAAACTATGAGCAATAAACGCTTTTACTACCCATGTGACGTCACAACGACTGTACCACATGACCGTCTTAACGCTTTCATCGAATTACGCGTTAAAAATAGTAAAAGTGAAGTATTTAATATCACATATCGATTGAATAAACACTGTTGTCTTAAGACCAAATCGAACACTTTAAATAGGGTGTAATACCCTATTTAGTAACAGCCAAGACTTCCTTGGTCACCCCTTTTACCCCTATAGTATAGAATATTTCAATAGTTAGTTTTTATTATAGTCAAACCGCCGTGAGCTTGGCCCTCCTGATGGTTTGGGGGACGCGGGGCGGGGGTGCATTCAACCAATTAGCTAGTGCGTCGCTGTCCGCCGGCAGTGACTGACGTGAAAGCATGGCTGTACGTGTTATTTTTCTTAAGACTGCTACACACGGTATTATTTTGCAACATGGATAATCTGCCGACTCTGCGTCACAAAAAGATTTAAAAACTTGAAGTTCGGCTTACAGAGGTTCTACTGTTAAAGTTCTAATAAAGAATATTTATTATTTTACTTAATTTTTAAATTGTATCTGAATATAATTTACATGATGAAGATAAGGTGATTTTAATAAAATTATTTTACAGTATTAAATTTTACAATTAATCATAAAAATTTAGAATACACTGACATTATAATACATGGAAATAAATTAGATTTTTATTACATCGTGTGTAGATTAAATCTCAAACAAATAAATCTGAAGATATCGAGTTAGTACATCGTGTCATGTATAGCCGAGCGCATCACCCGCCCCCGCGTCCCGCAAACCATCAGGAGGGGCAAGCTTAGGTTTAACTATAATCCTATACTCATACGTGTATTACACAATTTTTCTAACAATATATATATATATTATTGTAAGTTTTAGTTATAATTAGATATACATTATATATTCAGTGAGTGTATACCTGTGTTTAATACTAGTAAATATTGTATTCATAACTTTTACTGGCAATTTAATAAACAAATTCCTTATAAACGTCTTTTTCAGGTAACAGTATTATTTCTAAACACTTAAATAAATTGATCTATCCAAATTCTTAATCTATATTTAACCGTTAGATATAGCTCCTATCAAATATTATTTAATTAAAAATTATGCTTTATAATGATTACTTCGGAAATTGAAGCGATAAATGACCGTGGCTAGTTCAATCTGGTCGAATTGAGGCAATTTTTTAAAGTATTTAACGGCTAGTTTTCGCTTTAATTCCTGAAATTAAAAAATATGTGTATATCATAGAACACGATTTTTTTTAAAAGGATTAGTTGTACTCCTAGTTTTGTTGGGTTTGCGTTTTTTCGGTCAACGAAAAACAGTGAATGCTTTCTAAGAACGGTGTGGTTTTACTTTAACTTTTCTCGTGCAATTTCAATACATAGTCTTATTACATATGTCGTAACGTTTTGAATTTTTCTTTCAAGTAGTGCTGTAGTATTTTCTTCTGATTAATTTCGTTGCGGGTTCCAAGACAATTTAATTTCTTCCTGGGACTTCCCGAGTGTCATAACTCGTGTGTTCGTGGGTCACTGCTGTGGATCCTGTTACAGTGGTGGGCGTGTGGGTGGGATTAGTCCCATTAAAAAGGTGCTGTAGTATGACATGTACAAAAACTGTATTTCTATTTAATAAATTTTCAATTATACAACAAATTTGTACTGATTCAAACTGAACAAAGCGGCGGTAGCCTAGTGGTTAAGGCGTTGGACTTGCGGTCAAGAGGTCGTGGGTTCAAATCCTGACCAGTACACTACCGACGTAAATTCACTCCTAACACAAGCAATTTAGCTTAGCGGGAGGGGTTAACGGGAATACTAGTAGACCTTTTAAAAAAAAACATACCATGACCATTTTCACTTGATATGTTCTTATAAACAGGATATTTAAAAAATGTATATTTTGGGGAATTAGTTTCGAATATTCTCAACTGCTACGGGCGCCATGATCACGGATGAACTGAGTAACTATTCCGCAAAATCACCATCATTACCATCACAGTCCACTGCTGGACATAGGCCTATCCTTACAAATTTTCTCTAGAAAATTATATCTATAAAGTAGTTCTGGTGAAACATTGGACAGTTATAAAAATAATGAACACATCATAACTATATGGTTATTGATTTAAATTATCTATACTGTGTTATTATTATAATACATTAAGGGCCTGATTTCAATCCTCAGATAAATAGTATTTGAGGATTGAAAAACCGGCCCTTAAACATAATAAAAATAATCAGATATGGTAATATTGTACCATCATTTTTTAACAACTTTTAACTCCATTTCATTGCATTTTTGTGTAAAAAGTAATACCACACTACATAAAACTCTAAAATCGACTAAATACAATTCTCGTGTCACGGTGTGCGTGGTTGTACTCCTCCAAAACGGCTCGTTTTTCGTGAAATTTTTTGTTTCATACCCCTATTTTATTTAGACAATTTTTTTTTAAATAATGTATATGGCAAAACAACGTTTGCCGGGTCAGCTAGTGTTATATAAAACTACAAATTATATTATGGGCGTCGTTTGAAAATACCTATATTATTATAAATTTTGTTAATGGTCACTGCTCTCCATGAAGGAGACGACTCTTGACGACGACGAGCATGATGTTTTAAAAAGTACTTTACTTTAAATATAAATGATTCCAATCTAAATAAAAGTTCCAGAGATTAGCGCATTAAAAGCAAACGCACAAACATAAAAACTTCAGATATTATCTAAAATTCGACTGCACGGATGGCGTAGTGGTTTAAGCGGTCGCCACGCCGCTTCCTACTACACCGAGTGTTGTGGGTTCAAACCCCACATGGGACGACACTTTGTGTGATCCACAAATTGTTGTTCTGAGTCTGGGTGTTCTTTGTGTCCGTTTCATGTATGTTTGTAAAGTCCCCCGCGACACAGGATATATTCCTAATGCGGGAGTTGTATTTTTTAGAAAAAAAATAATTAAGAATTATTTTAATTGATAAATGTTTGGTATTTTAGTTTATTATTATAGACCATCCGTATTATATATATAACTTACAAGTGTTCTTTAGTTTTGTATCGAATTTTAACTAAGAAATTATATAAAATAAACTACATGTTCCAGGTAATCATACCTAGTAATTAGTGTGCTATGTTAATAATTATTTTTGAGTATGCTCTGAATAAAGTATAATTTATTAGATAAATATGCCTTTTTATTTGATTATATTAGTGTTGTTTTAAATTTACAATACACTAGTTGTTGAGCGCGGCTCCGCCTGCGGTTAGTCGGTTATCGCGGTAAAAATAACCCTATGTGTTTCCTCAAGAATCAAAGTATCTCCATACCAAATTTCATTTGAATCCACACAAAATGATTTCCACTCCCCCTTTTCACCCCCTCAAAGGATGGTTTCTGGGATAAAAACTACCCTTTGTGTTTTGCTGGAACTCGGACTATCTCTATACCAAATTTCATCTAAATCAGTTCAGCGGTTTAAGCGTGAAGAGGTAACAGACAGACACACTTTTGCATTTATAATATTAGTATGGATGTATATTAATTTGTTTGTAAGAGGGTGTGGAGGAACGGGTGTTATGTCCCTCCAACACAAAGGGG